AGGAAGGAAGGAAGGAAGGAAGGAAGGAAGGAAGGAAGGAAGGAAGGAAGGAAGGAAAGGGGCTGACTATAAACCAGGGCTGGAAGGCACTATGAAGCGGTATATAAATCTAAGTGTGAAAGAAGGAAGGAGGGAGGGAGGGAAGGAAGGAAGGAAGAAGAGATTGACTATAAACTACTTAGAGAGGGCTGGAAAGCCCTATAAAGCGGTATATAAATCTGTGAAGGAAGGAAGGAAGGATGCAGTATTGCAGGCTAACTCATTGCTCACTGCCAGCAGTTTGATCCTGAGCGGCTGAAGGTTGACTCAACCTTCTGTCCTTTCAAGATGGGTAAAGTGAGGACCCAGAGGGTCAGGGGGTCAAGAGGCTGACTCTGTAAACCGCTTGGAGAGGGCTGTGAAGCAGTATACAAGTCTTAAGTGCTGTGGCGTTTCCCCCCCTGGGTGTAAGTTGAGTTCTTACCTCGCCATCCTGTACGACGACGGAAAGGAGACGGTGTGGGGGCCCGAACTTTCGCTCATGCCGTAGAGCTCGTAGACCACAATGTCCAGGCTCAGGAAATACTCCAAGGTGTCCTTGGTGATGGGGGCTGCCCCCGTGTAGCATTTGTCGCAGCGGTCCAATCCGAGGGCCTTCCGGACCTTTTTATAAATCAGGGCCCGCGCCAGCCGGTAATTCATCGGTAAATCCACAGAGCTGCAGGAGGAAATAGGCATGAGGCTGGGAGCAAAGCCAGACCCCCCCCTTCTCTGTTAAGGGCTGCAGCCTTTTTAGGGGCTGTGTTGCCCCCTCCCCTTCACGTATGGCATGTTTTTCCAAACAGAAAGCCCCCCCCCCCCCGCTGACCTTTCTGATCGAGCAGCTCAGCACCTTAGCCACTGAGCCACCCCATCCCTTCCTTTAAGAGGGGCTCAAACCCCAGAATTCCCCAAATAAGATTGTAAAAGGGGTTGATCTGTTCTGATTTTGGAGAACCCTTTGTCTGTAGTGGTGTAGGGTTTTCCTGCCTGAGCCAGGGGGTTGGACTAGAAGACCTCCACGGTCCCTTCCAACTCTGTTATTCTATTATTTCTATTTCTATATTTATTTCTATTTCTATATTCCTATTCTATGATGTCCTGCCTTATAACTTCTTTACTTATAACTGCAATGGACAGGCTCCATAAGTTGAGGACCGCACACGAAGCATTATTATGCGGTTCTGTCTTGTTTTTTTATTTAAAAAATCTCCTTCCTAATCCTAGGAAGGCTCTAATCATAGAGCCGAGGTGGCGCAGTGGTTAAATGCAGCACTGCAGGCTACTTCAGCTGACTGCAGTTCGGCTGTTCAAATCTCACC